TCCTTTAACAATTTTTAGTATAATACACAGGAAAATTTGTAGAAAGAAGGTGCCTTAATTCAATTCCATCTATTTCGATATTTTAAAAGCTTTTACTTATAACAAAACAATCTGCAATTTCGAAAGAGTAATTTACGCTGAAGATGTCATTAAATGCGATTCTTCAGTTGAATTTCATTAAGTAACAAAGAGAAAATCAAAATTAGAATTTGTAAATAACTACTCGAATAATTAATTCTTCATTAAGTCGGCACTCTCAGGGAAAACAAACACCTAGATCTAAAGTAGAAATCAGCAAACTAACAAAACGAGCAAAACTTCGTATCCTGGTCGTCCTTTTTCAGCACTTTATCTTAGAAAAGGACGAGCGTCAAAATATAGGGCTTATGTGCGCGATTTATTGAGTCTCTTTATCTTTTACCTCAGTCAAATAAACATTGGTAATTATGAACTTACCATAAAGTAGGAGAATAAATATGGGTTTCAGGACTCGTTTTAATGTTATTTTCTGCATTATTAAAAAGAGGGAGATTTCAATTTATCTTGTACAAACATGGTTAATTTACAACTTAATTACGCATTATACCTAGTCATCTTTATCAGCTCATTATTAGTTTTCCCTTTGATAAATAAGCCTCTCAATGAAAATTAATTAAAATAATAAAACACCTGACGCTAGTTTCCTAAAAAAAATGTATGTGTATGTTTTATAATTGTGAACGTTTTCAGGTTAATATAATAATAAATCTATACCCATATCACAATTTCAGTGCATTAATAGACGCATAATCTAGGCGGCGTGGTCTGAAAATCGAGCACATGCGCTACGCAAACTGAAATGAAAACCTGGACCTCATTGGTTATATTTCGAGGGACGGAAAGGAAATCTACCCTTCGTAAAATCTGGCAAGTGGTTTAAACAGTCAGTTTATCACAGAATATCATTCAGTTAACATCTACTTATAACCTAATTAAATTAGTACCTCAAGCCTTTTCCAGTTGCAATTAATAATTACTTAGTCAAACAACTTTAAAGTTAAAAGTTTTTATGATCGGTTTAGTGATGATGTCCCAAGAGCAAGTAACTCCCGAAGACATTCGTCCACGCGGTGTCTACAGCATTGATCAAATACTGGGGGTAAATCAGCCAAATGTCCGGAAGACTAATAATGGTAAGTTTGTTTGATTTGTTCTTGCAGTTTTTTATAATTACGCCGCTCGTTAAAGTTTGGGGGGTTGATTTCAACATTTAAACGGACGGGCGCTTGCGTGATATCGTCGAAAAAAACGCATTTTAAATCTGCTTTTCAAATCAACAAGGGTTCGGGACAATAACGATTAATATGTTGCGGACAATAAGACTGAGCCAATGTAATTAGCTAGATAATTAAGCTACTGGGGTGAATTTTAAGGGGAATATTCCACCCCTGCATCGTTTCCGATAGATATAACGCACACGTGTTTTCATGTCATATTTTTCGTATAATTTCCGATCAGAATTCTATTGCTGTGCGTACAATTAAATGTGTTTCTTGTAAAAATTCCAAATTGGTCGTATTTTCCATGTTTGATTTCGTAATAATTTTAAAATATACCTATCCAATTACCTAGAAATATTCCAATACACTGCCCGCTATCTTAATTGTTAAATTAATTGACTTATTAAGTGCGTTTTATAAATTGGCATTTTTAAATCAATGGGAAATTTACGGTCACTAGTTAATTTTGTTAATTACAATAGTTTAAATGAGTCAGAGAGCCCGCACAAGCGATACAATCAAAATATGTAATACTTGTTCGCAATTTTTTGAAGTAAGATTTTATTATTAATCAAAATCATTGAGTCAAAAATTTCAAAAATCAATAAGTTTCTCTACCAACCCAATTTGTGAATTTATATGATTATGGTGGGCCAACAACCTTAATTTTTATAGAATCAATTGCATCGATGACTTTTACATGTTTAGACAACACACCAGATGGAGGGATTAAAAACTTTTCTTAGGATCACCATGGATGTGATGATGCATCTACTAGAAGCAAAGGCCATCTAATGACTAGACTTCCGATTGATTAAATATACAATGTATTGATTAATTTCGATATTTTGCACAACAATGCAATGTATAGACTATGGACAAGCCCAGATTTTTGTTACCCAAACATATTTGTAAAGACGTACCAAATTGCAAATCTTCAATGTGTTATATTTGGGAAACTGAATACTCAAATTTTAAAAAAACTGCAGCCATAAGTAGGAGATATATGTGTGTCGTTATACAGGTACAATGAGAGATGTAATAAAAAATCGACAATAAGTAAATTTACCAAAAAGACATGCAACCCCCATCCAGGAGAAATTAATCAATTGGACAAAATCAGGGCCCCTTATAGAAGAACTAAAACAACCACTACAGTCTACAACCAAATCCCTTAGCACTGAGCCAAATAACCAATTTCATACGATTCGCTCACTAGTTATGAAGCGTTCAATACCCATATCTCATTCTCTAAATCAAAATCACAGACCCGAAGAAATCAATTGCTTAAATGACGATGATGCAATATACAATGTAGGTACATAGCCAGACGTTACAATAGAATATTAAGTAGGTAGACGTGAAGTTTACACGTAAATAGATAGAACACGTATACCAAATACCTATACCTAAATCAACAATTGAGAGACAGATAGACCCATACAATGCCCATACTCTTTAGTCAGCAGCATTCAATCATCAAATATCATGAAATTTATGACTGAACAAGTGAACAGGTCGCATCTTTGTTTAAGCTTCATATCAGAGTAAACAATTCACGGTACGGCATTTTGTTGATTGACAAGGTAATTGTCATTACAACGAGCGACAAACACAGACGGACGGACAGAAAGTTCAAAAGAGAATTAAGTCAGTTGGTCCTTTGACTATTGTCTACCTATTACTGAAAACAGAATTGCAAAATTCGAAATATTAATACATTCATTTTAATTTAAGGGTACTCTTGACTTAATTTTTTTACGCAACCCATTTCCAATGTGTTTGTTTACATATTAACCTTAACTAAACAGGTCGGAATGCTTTTCGTACCATCGTTTTAGGAGTGAGTTACCTTGGAGTAGGAATTTTGGAAAATGAGAAAAATACATTTAAACACCTACGCGAATCTGATAATTACGTTCTCGTATTTGTTATAGGCGCAGAGAAAGAATTATAGACAAAATTCTGATATCGTAGCTCCCAAACATTTTGGACCATAGGTTCATTGAAAAAGAAATCAGTTGTTTTGATCCTTCCGCTCGCCCAACTTTTTTTATATAGGTAGGTACTTAATTGTTACATCTTACCTTTGAGAAAATAATATGACCATTAGAAATATCAAGGAGCAAAAAAGAAATGCTTCATAACGGGCAGATATAGACCATAGCAACTATCAATAATTACTCCTGGAATATTCGCCACGGTAAATTAACTGGACTAAAATATCAGCATTCTTAAAGTCGCACCGGATATACTCCCCTACGGAGTTTTTGCCTCCAGAATTCGGCAAGACTTTGCCTTGCGGGTATATTGATCTGTGAAAGGAGGAAGAAACGCCATGGAAAATTGGCTCACGAAAAAGTGCCCTCAGCATAATCATATCGTCACCCCAAGGAAATTTTACGTTCAACAAGCAAGTGAAATTTGCTCAATATGTAACATTACGCGGATGCATTACGTCTATCTTCATTCTTCAAACGTTTATGAATAATAAGCATTTAAATAAATGGATATCTGTGTTTGCAAGCTTCTAGGTAATTCTCAAACGGGTCGAGGCAGAAATATGCCAGTGTGTTTTAGGTAGAATTCTATCTAACTATTGTAATGATGTCAGTATAGTTATAGGATTCTAGAGTTATATTTTATCACTTCCAAGAAACACTCTAACTTTAACTCATAAATATCTCGGTCAAGTTCGTGAATCAGTTAATTCCGCCATATTGGAACAAAATGACTGAAAGAAATCTACCTATAACACCTGATCGGCCAAGCTGAAATGGATTTGAATATTGAAAATTACATGGTCTATTATTTGCGCAAGACAGTTTCTTATTTCTCGTGTCATTTTTACAGCGTTCATGAATAATGTACGGTCGGAGTAAAATGAAGGAAAA